TGTCTGCTAGGGCCTCGCCGCGGAGTGCGGCTGCCAGGGGCACACAGTAGGTTCTCAATAAATGTTCACTGACAGAACGAGCTTGTGGTCCCCCGCCCCGCCCCAACCGGCCCCAGGTAGGGAGCACCTGAGCAATTCCCACCCCGCCCGACCTTCTGGGCCTTCCAGACACACAGCAGGCATTTATTTGGCGCCTGTTGTATGCGCTTTGCCTTGTTTTCACAGCAGTGGAGGGAGGGACTTTAAGGGAGATATATTTGTTTTCAATTTTTTAAAGTTAGCTTAATTATGTTATTCATTTCTAATATTGTAAAGTCTAACTTAATTTTAGGCTTAGTTTTACTTTATTTCATCTTACTTAATCTTATTTCGTTATTTTACTTTTAAAAAAATTACTTTTTGCCGGGCGTTGGTGGCACACGCCTTTAGAGGCAGAGGCAGGCGGGTCTCTGTGAGATCGAGGACAACCTTGTCTACAAGAGCAAGTACCAGGACAGCCTCCAAAACCACAGAGAAACCCTGTCTCGAAAAACAACAACAAAAATTACTTTTTAATTATTTTGTGTGTGTGTGTATGCCTGTCTATGTACAGCACAGGTGTGCAGTGCCCAAAGCGGCCAGAAGAGGGGTCCCATCCCCTGGGGCTGGAATGGAGTGGAGGTGCTCTTAACTGCTGAGTTGTGTTTGTAGCTTCTATTTTATTATTTTTCATTAATTTTTTTTTTTTTTGAGACTGGGCCCCACTATTTATCCCAGGCTGGCCATGGACTCAGAGATCAGCCTGGCTCTGCCTCCCAAGTGCTGGGGATGGTGGTGTGTGTGAAGTCAGAGGACTACGTGTGGGGTATATTCTCTCTCTTCCTTGTGGTCTCAGGATCTTCCTGGGTCCTCAGGAAGCACCATTACCCTTTGAGCTTTGTCTCATTTTATCGGAATTTTATTTTTGTTTCTGTTTTATTACATTAATTTGTGATAGTCTTTCTTAGTTGTGAAGACTGACCTCAGACAGGTGGCACACCTCTCCCACCTCACTGTCCCACCCATGTACTAAGATAATAAGTACACACCTCCAGACCCAGCACTTGTGTATTGTTTTGATTTTGGTTTTTTGATACAGGGTTTTCCCGTAGGTTTGGAGGCTGTCCTGGAACTCACTCTGTAGACCAGGCTGGCCTCGAACTCACAGAGATCCATCTGCCTCTGCCTCCCAAGTGCTGTGATTAAAGGAGTGCTCCACCACTGCCTGGCTCCCAGCACAGTTTTTAATTGATTGTTTCATGTGCGCACAGGTGTAGAGTCCAGACATTAGTGTCACTGTCGTCTTCCTTGATTGTTCTCCACTTACTTTTTAATTAAAAGTGTGTGTGTGTGTGTGTGTGTGTGTGTGTGTGTGTGT